CCTCCGGGTAGAGCGCGGGCTCCGACAGCGCGTCCAGCCGCACCAGGTACTGCAGCCGCGCTCCACCGCCCTGCAACACACCATCGCAGCTTCGAACACTCGAGCTTCGAACACTCGAGCTTCGAACACTCGAGCTTCGAACACTCGAGCATCAAACACTGAGCTTCAAACACTGAGCTTCAAACACTGAGCTTCAAACACTGAGCTTCAAACACTCTTGCTTAATTTTAATCATTGCTCAAATCAATCATAAAATAAATCTATATAGTAATATAATACTTCAGTAAAATCCTTATAGCAAAAATATTTTATCTATCCCGGATTCTAAATGAGATTCAGGTAACGCTTATAAAATAGGGTCATGTAGTAGCAGATACTGGTAATACATTATGTGTCACATTGAAGACGTTAATAAAAAATACTAATAAACTAATTCTTCACATTTTTTTCAATTTTGCCAAAGCCCAGTTTGAAGCACAGTAAACTTCCATGTACTTACATATACGTTTATTAATGCACATACATTCTTCTTCAAATATTCCATTCATGAACTAGTGTCATGGCCAAAGAATAGCTTAAAAACTCGTTAAATAGAAAAATAATAATTATTTCAATTTTCTATGTGGTTAATATTTATTTATTCCCCAGGGAAATATTTTCTTTCATTTACATTTCATGCTAACAAATATCGCGCTCGATAATGGTTAAACCCGCGAAATTCCCTCCCGCGAAGTGCTCCACTGAAGCCTGGCTATTGACGGGACAAATCGGGCGACGAAATTCCAGTGCCCGGGGCGTCACTTTTATCTCGGGGCCGTCGCCCGCATGACGGACGTGGGGCCGCGGGCGACTGCCGGCGATGCACGAGCCACGTGACGCCCCGCGGCGGTTGACGCCAGCGCTTCGCGCGGAGGCGCGAGGCGGCGCCGAACCGCATCGCCCATCGACTGAACGCGACACTCCCCGCCCTGCAGCGCTGTCACGGCGCACACCGCCCCCGCCGCACAAGCAGCGCCCGAAGGCTGCCTCGACCAACGTCACAAGTGTTGGCACGTTTGGAAATTTCGATCTGGTGGGTGTAGGATCTCATAAAATGAGAATGAAGAGAGATTACAGCTGGGGCACACCATACGTACAAATAAGCGTTTTCTAATTAAGGAGCGGTAGTTTGTAATCCCATTGCTCCCTTAGATTAATCCCTTCAGAAGAAGCCACGAACATGATCAAAAAATATTAATTTAACCTAATAATTTGACTGTTTTCATGCCCATATATTTTATTTTCGAAAAATATTATCACTCACGCTGCCTCTAAACAGACATTGCAACTATTTTGCTTTGATTGTCAGAAGATGAACCTTCCCTGCGCTATGCAGTAGTATGTATACTACTATGAAGTAGTATATATAGTGCATAAGCCTAAGTTTCGTCCTAACACTTCTAAAGTCAGTCACGTTACTCGTAGGGCACGAGGTAAAACCGTTAAAATGTGCTAAAACTCCCCAATTGTTTTTGACTCCATAAATGACTCCTTGGATTTTTAATCATATTATTGGCCCCGTTACAATTCTACCTAAAACTCAACATGGGATACAGTATAAGCAGGAAAGATGTTTCTGTTATGAAAGTGAAGATTCCTAATTAGTCAGACTTACGATTTTTGAAAATATATTTACACGATTACAGATAAGCTGCAGAATAAAATTATAATATATAATTAATAATATAACACAAAATGCGAGGTATCTAGAATTCACATGTAAATGTCAGATTAAATTGTTACTTTTTACAACATAGAACCTCGTGTTACGTATAATCGAGACTACATGAACTCGATGAATTGTCGGCTATCCGGGAGACGCCGCGTCGTTGGCTGGGGCACCCCAGCCAACGACGCGGCGTCTCCCGGATAGCCGAGAATTCATGGATTCGAGCCGCGGAAGCTTACGTACATACATGAACTCGAAAAATTAGTGACAATGCACCGAAACTATTCTTTTTCTTAATGTTCTAACTCAAGAGTTACTCACATTTCAAAACAAATTGAGAGGCCTCATTTAAGATCTACAATTGAAACTAAGCAGAAAATATACTAACCGCAAGAATCAATGTTGTTGAAAATACTTGGAAAGTTGGGACATATTTTAGGTTTTTTTTGAAAGGACTCGTGTGCCAGATGATTTCTGGTATTGCCTTTATATTCATTGCCTCTTCGAATTTGAAAAAAACTTGCTATATCTGCTGCACTAATAAGAATATTACACAAACATGTTCTCTTGACGAGGAAATATCGAATACGACTCATTCAATGAAATAACTAACAAACAACAGGGCATAAGTATCCATTCTATTAATTTTTTGATCTTCAAACAATTAATGTTTATACAATAAAATAAGTTAATAATAGTAGGCGTTAAAACACCTGAGTTTCACTACCTTGTAAAGAAAATGTCACGAACTTTGGTTCGAAGAACGATGGAAGCTCAAACTCATTATTATAAACAAAAACCATCAGTTTTTTACTAAAAATATATTTCCAATTTTCTATCAGTCAAAGGTTTTAATAAAAACCGAAACTATACCATATTAATAATCTGAATAATATCTATATTCGAATAATAAATCAAACACATTTCAGCCATTTTCCAGTACATTTTTAGTGCCAGGGGGTTTCACCTACACTTATCAAGTGCCTCAAAAATTAAAATATCTTAATGGAACAGGAATATCTTACATCTATCATATTTATTAAGTTTCAGATCAAAAGATTCTCATCTGACAGTTATGGGTGACACATCCATCCATCCATCCACCCCATCCATCAAACCCATCCATCCAATCCATCCATCCAATCCATCCATCCAACCCATCCATCCAACCCATCCATCCAACCCATCCATCCAACCCATCCATCCAACCCATCCATCCATCAACTCATCTATTCATCCATCAACCCATCCATTCATCCATCAACCCATCCACCCAATCGCCTACCCATTGATCCATCCCGCTGTTGGAGTACTAAATTACGAGTAGCTCCCCCAACTGCAGCAATCTTAAACATCTTTGAAACATCGCTAACACATCTTAACTATGTCGCGTGTGCAGAGTTACAGATAAAAAATCGTTAATCATGAATTTTAGAACCAAAAACTCGAGATTTCCTCCCATCTCCCTCTCCCCTTCTTCCACTTCACACGCACGCACGCACGCACACACTCACTCACACACACACACACACACACACACCCTTGCATAACACTAGCACTCATATCGGGACCTAAGTCGAGAACTTGGAGCCCGTCCGAACTGGGGTGGTGCCCTTTGGGGCAGAGATGAGAGAACCGACGCCGATCGGATAGATCACACGTTGAAGCTCTAACGAACACCATGAAGAAGACGTAGCCTGAGTAGAGCGAGAGCTGCGACTCACGGGCGCGTGCGCGCGGTGCGTGGGCGAGTCGAGGGTGGCGAGGAACTTGCAGGCGAAGCGCGCGTCCAGCGCCCCGGCGCCGCTCACCAGCCGCAGCACCAGCCGCTCCACCAGCGCCGCCGCCGCCGCGCCGCCCGCCGCCCACTCGCGCTCGCTCTCTGCAACACGCAGCGCCCGCGCTCAGCTCAGCAGCTCAGCGCACGTGCTCCAGCGCACGCAAGGGGTCACGAGCGCACGCAAGTGTACAGGCGCACGCAAGTGTACATGCGCACACAAGTGTACAGGCGCACGCAAGTGTACAGGAGCACATAAGTGTACAGGCGCACGCAAGTGTACATGCGCACACAAGTGTACAAGCGCACGCAAGTGTACAGGAGCACATAAGTGTACTGGCGCGCACAAGTGTACAGGCGCACACAGGTGTACAGGCGCACACAAGTGCGGCAAGCGCTCACAAGTGTGACAAGCTCACTCAAGTGTGACAAGCGCACAAAACTGTGCATGCGCTCACATCTGTTCTAGAGCTCACATTACGTTATTTTCTTTACTCACATTACATTCACAGGAGCTTACAACTGCACAAAAGATCAAAAAGGCACAAGATCGGCAACATCACACACACGAGCGTACCCAAGGGCACCAACGCAAATCCACTTCAGAATCGCACATTGGACCAAAACGATGGGCGCACAAATACACCAAATACACAAGTGCTCAAGAAATGCACAAGTTCTTTCACAGGAGTGCAGACAGAGCTTCTGCACAGGACTTGTAACCTGTCGCTCTTAACAATTTTCCTTCCGTTCTCTAATGCGACCTACATAACGACGAAGACAATTTTTTCCCTCTTTGTGCGTTGGAATTTCGCGTACGGCATGAATATTTTCACCTTGTGATTGTGGGGTAGTGATGAAATCATCAAACATTTTCTAGAAGAACTAATATCGCTCCTCAAGAGAAAATGTGAGGTCTTCATTTACACCAATTATTTTCGCTGTTCTTGCGTAGATATTCATGAAATATTAACATTATTTATTTTTATCTTTTTAACCCTTTCACTCCCCTTTCTTTAACATTAGGTTAAATATTAACATCGTGTACACAAGATTATTCCCATTATGAGTTTGTTATATGAGAGTTCTTTTAAAATCAATAATCTCGTACGTTCTTCAAACTGATCATCCTGAGGCTACGGCCTCTTTGAGCTGTAATACTATATTCTGAGAAGCTCCACGGCGCTGCTGCGTTGACAAAGGGGTTCATGGATAAGATTCTCCGCCAGTGAAAGGACGAAGAAAGCTCGACATGGGCAGAAGAGGGGAAGAATCGAGCCCAGGACGCGGCGCAGCGGTGTGGGGAGCGGGACGAGAACAGATCGGGAATAGGCGAGGGTCATTTGGAGAAGGCCGGGAAGTGGCGAGAATTTGGCCTGACGTGGCGGAGTGGGACGGGGGAAAATAGAGCTGGACGCTAGGTTGATGGGAGACGCGAGGAACGGAACCGAAACAAGCGATGACTGTCATGGAAGGTTGCGTGGAGACGGCGATGGGTTCGTAGGCTTCGACGGCCGGAGTCAATGCATTCTTGGCTACCCGGGATGAGCAGCGTCTCTGTCAAATGTACTGACGTATAGCTCTGAAGAAGGCCACAGTAAGATGGTCGAAACGTCAGTACAATTGACCGAGACGCAGCTCATCCCGGATAGCCAAGAATGCGTGGAGACGGCGAGTTCTGACTGGGCGTAGTTCTAACTGGGTCTGGACGGGACGGGGGCCGGACAGAACAATGCGAGGAACGCGACGGAATGTAGAGAGCATTACATCAAAACTGTAAAGGGATTTGGTTTTGGACTTTATCGAAATGGGGCGAAGGGAAGCAACGGCAGGTCGCAAGGACTGTGGACAGAGCAGCTGCAACAGGGTGGGAAAGGTGGGACATCCGCTTGATGGCTGACGGAAAGACTTCGGACGTGAGACTGAGGGTCGCGAAGATAGGATTGGCAGGATGGGGACGAGATTTATAATTTTGTATTTTCGGACGTGATAAATGTTGTGGTCATTATTCTCTTGAGTTTAGTGCACATCATGGTCGGGAGGTGGCTGTGTTGTTCCCTAATGGACTGTGCTAACCTATGCGTCTTCTTGTGGGAATTTACCCCTTCAGGTGCCTCTCCCTGTGGGGTCATCTACCCCACCGGAACAAGATCGAAACTCGCGCCTGGTCTCTCGGTTTATATATGCTGTGGTCATGTGTGTGTGTGTGTGTTCATGTAGGCGGAGAAGACTGGTGAAGAACGAAAAGGAATACTGCGCGCTATGATCTGCTTGTTAGGGTACTGCTCGAGAATATTGATCGCAGCAACCACGGAATACCACTGATCAGAACAACCGGCCGCAAGAATTCGCCTCCAGGAAGCGGCTGCATTCTATCTAGCTCTCCAGCCAGCAACTTTGCCACCGTCAAGGAGAAAGGCCGAGATGTGAGGCAGCACGAGAAATATGAAGGCGAGACGGAGGAGAGGTCTTGGCTGGCCCGGAGCGGAACAGGGCCCGTATGAGGGTGCGGGGGGGGGGGGGGCGAGCAGGGCGCTTATTTTTACCTGCCGCTATTCGCGGCATCCCGCGTAACTATATCTGCACATGCCATTCAAGCGGATCGGACCCTCCCCCCCAGCGCCTGGAGCCGTTCGCACATGCCAATCGCAGCGTAGAAAGGGCGCGAGCGAAAATAGCGGCGCGAGCCCTTGGGTGAGTGACAAGGGCGCAGGACGTAAAGGGAGACCTTTGTGCTCTCAGAGCCACTGACCTGGCTGCGGTAATCCTTGAATGAAATCACCTGCGCTACGAGGTAGAGTGCATCAATGGAAGACCCGACATTAAAAGATATATTAAAACACATTCAATAAAATTTCTTTTAGGAAAACGGTAGATACTATTGCATAGTTGAAAGTGTAACAACGCTGTGTTCGCAAGCTGCGGTAACTGGCAGATTGCGGGGTCGATCACGGGCGGATGCTGCAAACTTGTTAGATCTGTTCAATCGCGTTTTTGGGCACTTTTCGAAGTGAGTTAGAAGACTGGCTGCTCTGATCTGTTTCTGAACTTGTTATTAACATTTCGTCGGTTATAAAGGGCATGAGGCAGCGCTCAATCCTTCCTTTAATATCAGTGTGTGTTTGGCTATCGGAGTTGCATTGGGATATTGGATTCATAGGATTTCATGGTAATTATTTTCCACCTGTTAATTGGATTGTTGGTGAAGTAGATACCTTTTTTATTTTGATAAATAAATAGAGATATTGTCAGGTATCAATATACCAGACATTGATACCTGACAATATCTCTTTATTTATCAAAATTTTCCACCTGGTTTCCCCGAACGCATTCTAGATATATTTCTCTAAGTAAGTTTCCGACTTGTGTTGGTATGTGTGAGTGTGTGTGTGAATAATAATATACCCTTGAAAATTTGTCTAGTTTCTTACAAATGTGTTGGGAGTACGACTTCGAAGTAACGCGATCATCTCTGTATTTATTTGCCAGCAAGTCGTTGCTTCTTTTACTATTACGCTGCGTCAGTCTCACCCTCGACCACCCACGTTAGTATTTTTTCCGGTGCTAGAATTTGTGGTTTGTTAAACATCCAGTTTGTTACCCCTCCATCATGGACCAAAACAAAATAATTCTTAATTTGTTTGATACAACAGACACCGAATAAAAGTCTTCCATCGTGTTTACTCCCTATTTGGTGATTTTTATAAGACAAAATTGTATCATTTTTCTCATATCTAGAAGAAATTTTATTGATATTAAGGTACATATTTCTAGGACAAAGTTCTGGACGCAAACTTTGTTTTTTGAGTGTACAGAATACTTGTTCCGCGTATTGCTCAAATCCGAGCATGGTACTTCTATGTAGACAATCCTGAAGCAAAAGTGCTTTATATGTTACGCTCTTCTTTAGGATCCAATTTCACGCTAAATGTAACTCATAACAAACCACTGGAGTCTTGCGTGATATGTCTCCAGACGGAGAAAGGGCGTGGTAGGAAGCAAGACGTTGAAAAGTTTGCAGGTCAAGAGCCGTTCACATAACTCCTATCAGACGCCTTATTCCAAAATTGTTCGACCCAATTTCGAAATACCCTGCGGCGGAGACGCAAGCACGTTGTCGATAAGATTGATTCAGAGGCAAAGACAAATGAGGTGATTCCCCGCCTTTCTGCCTTCTGCAGGGGCATGCGAACTCTTAATGAACTAGTAGCATTACAAACAAATGGTGGGTAAAAGGTTTAGTTTGTTTTATGTTGTAAAAGGTTTAGTTTGTTATTACTCAGTTCCAATTTTTTTTATTTACATCTTTTTTAAATTTTTAAATTACCAACTTTTCATTTTTTAATTGAAACAATAACAAATAGTGCAGTGATTGAACGAATAATTTGATAATCAAATGCTGAATTTCTTGATGTACTTGATACACAGAGTCTCATGGAGACGAATAAATTAATAATAAACATAACAGTGAAATTGAAGAGTCTGTTGAAGAACCCTATAATCCTCAACCTCTCAATCCTTGACTACAGTACGTAGAGCGAAATAATCAGATCGTATGAAATGATCGTGCTCCAAATCAGGCGACCACTTGCCGAGAAGAAACATTGTTATTCAACCATCAGGGGTAAAATTAATTGCTAGGGATGTCACATCAATTTTCGATGCATAGAAATTGTTATTTTCAGATCATGTATTAAACGAGTTAATTCATCATACAAACAGCCGATTGAGAAATATGAAAGCAAACTACACTCGAGAATCTAATGTAATGGAAACGAATCTATAAGAAATAAGGTCCCTCAATTTTTTATTTTACATGGCTGGGTTACTTTAGTCGTAATATATATATATATATATATATATATATATATATATATATATATATATATATATATATATATATACATATATACATGATTTATAGGCGACTGATGCAACTACAACCAAGTTCTTCCGACTTGTTATGAACTACAATAGTTTTTACTTGTTATTAAGGGGATTCCGAGACAGCTACAAGAGAAGAAAGGAAGGCCTAAGATAAATAAAAAAGCTAGAATCAGAGAAGTGTAAGATTTTTATGGGAAACAATATTTGTAAAACTACAGTGTTATAGAATATCTAACGGTAGTTGAAATGTTGGAGTCTTGCAGAGAAAAATTTCCTTCAGGTAATATATGCCTAAAAAGCCATCAAAAATTGAATTAAGGATGTTTTCCAAAGTTGGTTCTAGAATGTTTTGTTCTAGTAATTTGGATATTTATTGTGATGTTCAACCGGAGACAGAATAGTTGCACCTATATGCCTCTGCCCCTATGCCTCTAGAGGTAATGTGACCATTGAAAACTACTTTTTGTCAGAAGTAGTAAATTAAATGAATGAAGAAAAATCTAATTGTTGTTGCAATATAATTTTTGTATTGCATGTTCATGATTTTTTATGTTTCTTAATTTAAGTGTATACACTTGTTTAAAATACTATTCGATCTGTCCCTATTCCTCTAGAGGCAATGTGACCATTGAAAACTAGTTTTCGTCAGAAGTAGTAAATTAAATGAATGAAATCTAATTGTTGTTGCAATTTATGATTTTTGTGTTGCATATACATGATTTTTTGTTTCTTGGTTTAGGCGAATACACTTGTTAAAAATACCATTCGATCATGCAGTACTGTTTGAGGGGAAGGCCATGGCCCTTGTAGCTCGGCTGCGAGGCGAGCGGGAGTAGGAGTGGGAGGCGCTTAGCGGCCCTTGCCACATGCCACACGCGTCGCGTCGCCTCGCGAAATCTGGCTGTCGGGCTGCCTCCGGTCGGAAAATCCGGTCGCCGCTGCCGCCGCGGCGGAGCGTGACACGCAGTGGGCCAATGCCACCAACGCAACGGACCGAAATCACGAAATATGATTCACAGGTAAAAGATTATTCTACCAGGAGTGCATTAATCTATAAACATACTAAGCAGGTGCCTAGTAAGTGCTTTAAATAAAACTTTCTACTAGAAATTAAGTATTCTCGTAGTAATATATACACACAATAAAATATAAATTAAATACATTTTAATAGTATTTCTGAAACTGTCATGGTTTTTTTTAGTAGAAATGGTCATGTTGAAAGTTCAATATTCGAATTTTATTCGGGGATCCAACTGTTACTAGTAGATTAGGTTAAGAGCTTATTGAAATATTCTTTCAACCGTAGATCCTATGAGTGCATAAAGAGTAACGCCAGGGGAGGTTAATATTTGAGGTAAAACTGTCATATCTCACGTGCGAAGTAGCGTGTCGTCGTTGCAGCCGCAGATAGAACTAAATAAGACTACATTGACGAGGCTCTCATGTAGAATTCGGACTTCCAGAGTGTTTGAGAAAAGATTAGTCCAACTCCCCGCTTTTTGTCATTTCGTGCTATGAATTACGTTTATATTGATGTTATTGAACAATAAAAATTTATTTTTTGAGATATTCATCTGGTGAATCATTGGTTAATAAACAATACGAATTATTGTTTGTGTAATAAAGAAACAGCCTTCCGACTGTTAAAAATCTCAAACATGGGATTGAAATGTGAAATATAAAATATTGTTTCTTGAATGTGGTCATTTTTTAAGATTTCTAAATAAAATAACTGACAAGTGTGTTTACATGGACACGTAATAACATTCAATATATCTTTGCAGTGATCATATTTATATTCGTTATTACGCATATTGCAAAACAATTCAGACACTATGTTCAATGTTGATCTAATGGTTGACAGTAATCTATTTGGTTGTAATTTCTTCTTGAAATACACAATATTTCTTGCTAAATAATACGAACAAAAATTACGTTCATTTTAATGATTTTTATTGTATTTAAAGTTTAACTGCATGAAATACATTTTACAGCTTTGTTTTTCTGTTTCCCCCTCTTCATTATTATTATTATTATTATTATTATTATTATTATTATTATTACTTTTCTGCTAGGTTATTTTTTGTACATTGATATTTATTGACACATATTAATGAGTGTTAAAAATGGGAAAGTTATTGAAATTGTGTATTATATTGTGGTTAGAGATAAAATTACTTTCTTTAGTTGTTCGAATACGCTTAGGAATGGATCGATTTGAGAGTTGGTTCGCATGTATGTGATTGTATACGTAAGTTTATTTATGTACACGTGAGGATATATCTATCTGCTTTTGTAGATGTATGTAAAGGTGGCGTATGCTAGGTAGGGAACAAGTTTTGTAGATGTATTTAAATTCCGTCTGCGTATGCTAGGTAGACAAAACATACTTCTTTTTGTACTTGCATATAGTTTGATGTTTCTGTATTCTACCACCGGCAACATAAAGCTCTGTAGAAAAGTTTCTGCTTTTCTGCCTTTGCTGCAGTTTCTGCCTTTCTATCTACCTAATCAAAAACACTAGGGATAAATGGGTGTCCTACTATCCCGAACGATAACGAAATAGCGAAAAGGAAAAATAAAATCTTGTGAAAACAATCATTCCTCGAGAGCTTCAATTTCCGCAGCCTTTCCAGGACTTTTGCTCTTTGCGCCTTTCAGCGCCTTCCGGCCCTGCG